CTGTCCTTTGTGACCCCTGCTTTAAGGGTCACTAAATTTGGTATCATTAGACAGCATCAACAGTTAGGGCAAAACCAACAGACATTGACTGACATCACTGCCATGGCTGAGCTACAGCCCAGTCCTGCCCCGTAATCACACTGGCTTTAATGGGACTGCTCCAATGCTCACAATATGCAGCACTAGTCTTGGATGTTCTTAAAAGGTCACTAGCTGCAAATTTCAGGTCAAAGTGCAGAAAGCTTTTGGTCAAGCCAATTTTTTTGCCCTTACTTGGTCATTTACAAAGACAGGTAACTCCTGGCAATTTTGGGTCTAGATGTCAGAAAATGGCTGGTGTGGAAGAGAGCCAATGCAAGCTGCGTCAGCAGCTCAACAGCATGGCAGGCACCATCGAGGGCTGAAGTGATATAAAAGCTACAAGTCAGTGAAGGGGGAGCAATTCTGAGTAACTGATGGAAAATAGTTGTCTCTCTGCAGAGGACCTCTGAAGCTACAGAAAAAAAGCATGAAAAAACAGGGAATTCAACAGGTTTCATTCTATTCTGGGAGAAATTGAGAGAAAAATCTCATCTGCATTATTTGTAGAAACAGAATGGTTACACAGCTACTCTGAGGTGTAAAGCAGGGTAGTGAAGGATATGGAACTGTCTTGAGCTCCGGAAAAGGTGGCCTGAGTTGCCAAAGAAATTTATGACCAGGACTATTAGCTTCCTGTCTTTGATGTCTATTCTTGGCTTTCCAGGAGCATTATGACATTCATGAGGTGAAAATCACTCCAGAGCCAAGGTCAGCTAAGGCTGATGCAGCCTGTTCTATTGCAAAGCTAAGGAATTCACTCCGAACTGCTACAAGATGCTGAGTTAAAGCCTGCAAACACTTCACTAAGGGCCTGCACATGCTTCCATTAATGAGGACGCATGTGCTTCAGTCATAAGCCAATGCCGATGAGAGGGTTTTTTTTTTTTTTTTTTTAAATCGGCTTAATAGGAGTATGACTCCTATCTCCAAGTCCAAAAATTAATTAGAAATTAACCTCTTAATAAAGCATCCTGTCAGAGAACATTCTTATTCCATCCTGCACAACTTTCATCCTTCCAGGATTTTCGAAGTATTAGCCCCATCTTAATAATTCTCAACTAAAAAATAACAAAAGGCTTCCAAAAATGTAAAGCATTTCTTAAAAACAACCTGAAAATAGATCATTAATATTTCTTTTATTTTTGGAAGTGAATGAATATACCTTTTTAATAAACTGAATTCTGGACACAATCCTGTCAGGGGCACAGCACCTTCGATTTAACTTTTAGCAGTGGCTGAATGTTCTCAGAACTTAGCTGGATTTGGACTTCAGTTCCAGAAGAAACTGCTTATAAACTGCTGAGAAAACTCAGGACAAAAAAAAAAAAATCCATAAGCAGAACTTCCAGAAACACCGGGATGAAGGCCAAATGAAGGCATCTGGACATGCCACTCTAAAGCTGTGAGTCTCAGCGTACTAAACCAGGGGCACTGTTCAAAGTTCTGCTTCATCTTTGTCTTTGGAGAGCAGTCTAGTAGCCAACTTGCAATGGACGTCTGCACATAAAGAATACAGAGATGGACACCAGATAACTTGGCTCTAAAATGCTCAAGAAGAGATCCTATTACACTGAACAGTATTAAGCAATTTAAAGAATTATCTGAATTAGCAGAATATGTCACTTTGACAAACAAAAAACCCACAAAGCTACAAGTATAGTTTTAATTAACAGCCACAACTGTAAGACTTGGCATTAAACGTACTGGGCCAATCTTTCTCTGGTTCAAATACATGGTGAAATTCCCTTCTGCTCAACCAGGATCAGGATCATTTGGCCCCATGGGAGCAAAGCACTTAGAAGCTGAAGTTGAGCGTATTTTAAGTGTGTTCTAAAGTACTGGGTTGAGTCAAGACCCTCCTTGTGCTGCTCTGTAATACAGATGTATGTTTGCAATATGGGCAATTTGTCACAGCCAAAAATGTGTGTTTTGAAAATCCTTTTGGGAATCCATTACTATTATTTTGATTAGACATTCCCTTACAGAAGCTGAAGCCTAAACATTGTGGCATTGAATTAATGCAGATGAGTCAGAAAGGAAAAGTGTGTTAGATTGTAAAGAATCTCCCTGTTGAATGATGTAAACTTAAAGCAGTTTGTGATCTATAGTTCCTGGAAGATCTGGGAACTATTAGCAAGAGACCTGAGAAAGGCAGCTAGGAAGAGCAAGTTTATTTAGGCTATACAGGAATCTACTTAGATGAAAAGTCTTAAATGATCTCTACACCTCCATGGGCAAAATGTACAGGTATTTCCAAATTCAGGAAAATTACAACCCATTAATCTAAAATGTTCAAATATGCAACTGTGGTTCCCCTATGGAGGATGGTGGGAGTTGCTGGGATGCAAAGCTGTGGCCAGACCTCTGACTGCACTCCACCAGCAAACATAACAAATCCTGAGGTCATGATTAAAAACATTTCATATAACTGGAGATCAGAGTTATTAGAATTTTATTTTAGAGTGACCTTTAATTACGCTTTTTCTGTTTATTTCTTATTCTTAGTTAAGAGTGGCACAAAAAAACCCTATCTTAACAATTTTTTGTCCCAGCCAGATCTATCCCGGTCCAGATCTTCGACTCTGATTTAACAGTACTTGGAACAGGAAAAGAAGCAAATCTACACTACTGCAATGCTCCCTAACTAGGGACTGGTGAAGTACGAGTTGAAAGTGCGAGGTAAATCAAAGCAAACATTTCTGAAAATATTCTTGAAATCATACTCTCTTTTCTCTGCATTTTGAAAAATTTCCCTTTTTCAGTGGTAGTCAAATGGATAAAAGAAAGTAACACTGAAAGGCATATTTTCAAATCAAAACATAAAACTTTTTAAAGTTAGCTATAAAAAACAGTCATGCCCCTCCCTCTCCCAAGTCAACTGCTTGAAAAAAATAAAATAAAAATGAACCAAAACAGTTAGAAAGTCTTTTATTTCTCTATTCTAGCACTTCAGTGGTGTGACTACTGCTTTAAACTGTGTCCTTCTCAGCTGCCCACGAGCTCAGGAGGCCGCTCCAGAAAACCGTGTCCACTGGACTAAGTGCTCTTGGGCCAGGGCACCTTTGTAGAAGTCACAGGCTGTTCGTAGCCAAGGAAATGGGATGATGTGAATCTGCCACGTGAAGGGCAGCTCTGTAACCGCGAGGCCTAAAGATGTCACCTCTACCTGCTCTACAGCCATTGCCTACTCCGGAGCTGCCCTGGGATGCAGGAAGCCCTGCCCTGGAGGAGTATTTCAGAAGGCAGGCAATGGACCACTACCTATGCTAAAGAGCACAGTGTAAGAAACAGTGAAACCAGCCCAAGGAAACACCCCTGGGACCAGATAAAAGGCAGCACAGGGAATATAAAGACAACTTTTGCTGTTCACTGACTTCCAGCTACCCTGAAATGTTTTCTATGAATTTGCCCTCTAGCTTCTCAGAGAGTAAGAGTTTCGTAGAACACGGGGCTTCAGTGCCAGGTTTGAGGATAACATTTGTATACAGTGTAACTCTGAGACCCGAAAGTTCAGTTTTTGAAATCAGAGTAAGATAAACAGATTCCACACCTTAGAATAATATTCATAGTTGAGTTTTCTCAGACAATATTTTTATGGTTCTTCTTCATCACATTTATAGTATGTACTTTTTGCTTCCATTTGTTGTCTAGAAAGTACAGAGCTCTTCTCTGTCTAGTATAAAAGAACCTATCAGTAGCTATCAGTAGCTAATTCATCACAGATTCAGTCTTGCTCTCAGTAAAGTTAATGGCAAAATTCCCAGGACTGCTCACGGCAGTAAGATTAAAATCAGCCCTAGAGTAGTGTTTTACCATCCCAATCATGAAGGTAGTTCTTTCTGTGTTTAACTGTACATACATGAATAACTAGTCTCACTGATTAGTGTGAGCCTATCCAACACAGGAAAAATTAATCATTTTCAGGATCAGGGCAATCATATGGACAATTGTATAAGTACATTGTATAGGTTAAATAACTATTTGCATGTTTCACGTGCCTGGAGAACAGAGTAGGGCAGAAAGCTAGTTATTATCCATAAACTCCCTTCTCCTCACCATACTGATTTTAGAATGTATTTACATCTATTTATTTTCTCTGCATATTGCCGCAATCATAAAATATACGTCTTCAAATGTTCACTCCTCTTATTTTTTAATCCTACCAAAGCAAAAAATAGATATTTTAATAGAAAAATACAAGATAAAAATATCCTAAAGATAAAATGTTAGCATGGAATGTTATTTTTAAAAGACCCTCTTTTGAATTGCCTCTGCTATACAAACACTCCTGTATCTTTCATATTTACACATTCTGGCTGTGATCCTGTACTCACTGAAGTTAATGGGACTTTGCCATTGACTTCACTGGGGACAGGAGCAGGCTCTTCATGGACTGTTTGCCCCTCTGAGAGAGAAAATATAATGATAAAACATATATAAGACTGAAGAATTAGCAGGCCCTCTCCAGAGGCTTTGATTGTCCGCTCCCATGCTACTTTACACTAATGAAACTCCATGGCCTTCACTGGAGCTGTTCCTGGCTCCCAGTGTGTCCGAGGGAGAACCGGTGCTTTCGGCTGCGGTGTTGCGCACACCGGGAAGGGATGATCTGTGTGTGTTGCCACTGTCTGACTCTCTCAGCAGGGTTAATTACACCCGAGCGCTGGTGCCCTCCCATGACCAACCCTGCAGCCCCTGTAACCACTGCAGTCATCCAGGTATGCAGGATGCTACCCCAGATTAACCCCTCTTTTCACTGTGACAGCAAATCAGCACCTGTGTCTGTGAAATCACATTCAATACCCATAAGTGAGGTGTATTTAAGGGAGGAGGCAGTAGAAGATTTAAAAAAAAAAGGAAGAGAAAAAGGTATCCCCATCAACCAAGCTCAAGTCTGCTGCTGTTAGCATATACCTTAAGAAATATTGCCTTTACATATTAAGTACATTTTATAAGATCAAACTGTGGCATTTTCTTTTTTTTCATGAGATGAAAGGCCATGTGGCATAATGTGATTAGTAAATTATTCCTGAGCTTCTGAAAGAAATTAAGATAAAATTACTGCTTAAAAGAGTGAGTTCTTTGAAAGCCTCTTCTTTATACGCTGATGTCTTTGGTTGTGTCCATTTCCCTAATTTCTCTTTTCCAGGAGGAATGGGATTATTTTTCTTCTCCTTTAGGCAGCAGAAAAATGAGATCTAATGGAGTCTTCACGCAACTGCCGATGTTTCCCCATATTACAGTCCTCCTGTCGAGTTCGTCTTTCAATAGTTATTCTGTATTTCTTTCTGCATAAAAGGAGAAGAACAGAGTGAGAAATCCTGCTCCTGCTATAGGATAACAGGACTTCCCTTATAGAGAATGCCTGTAGGGGACAGCTGGGGTCCAGTTGAAAAATGAAATACAACAGAATGTGAAACCATGGTCAAAGATTAAAGTAGTTTGCCTTGAAAAATGTTACCCAAGCCCAAGAATGCCTGTTAATTTCTACAAGCAGTCTCAAAGCACCAAGACACAGGCATTTGTTTCTTTGAAAATTTCTGATCTAAGTGATTAGGAAGTTTTTGTGAAGTGGCATGTGAACCGTGTCACATCAGTGCTCTACACTGATCAAAGCCAGATTTCTTCCCTGTATACAGGGGCACTTTCTGCAGAGTTCAAACAATGGAGCTGAGTCTTTATTCCCCTGCATTTCTCACTGAAACTATATTATAACTAACTCTCCCATCTCCCCGAGGAAAGCCACTAGTTTTATAATGTCAGTGGAGGCTGTAACCTGAATTCAGAAGTGAGCTGTAGAGGACAGCTAAGGAGTAAATACAACTACTCATGCAATCACTTCCAAGCGTACAGTTTCCAGACCAACATTTTCTGAAAATCTGAGCCATATATCCTGATAAACCATGTTACATATACTTCTTCTAAAAAATAAATTAGGAGCTTGACCATACTCCTCCTTTCAAAGGATGCAATCAGCTTTCCATTCACCTGTGCTGTTTTAGAAGTCTCCAGTGTGCAGATCCATCTGAGATACCTGCACTCACCTTACTAGTCAGCAGACAGAAATAGGCCTTTCTAGGAGACATTCCCGTGACCTGTTTTACTGCACCAAACATGTGCTTATTTCTCCTCTTTCACCATAAATAAGAGACTAGGTGTTAAGCTCAAGTGTGGTTATCCACTTCTACAGACACCCAGCTTTGGTCACTTAAATTTCCACCCCAAATCTTAGTGCCAGATGCTTAAGAGTTTAAAAACAGTTCCTACACTGAATGCTTTGTATAGTTTTATACTAGCTAAGGATGAGTTTTCTGTCACTTTTCCTGTCCCCACCAACAAACTCCCTTTTATATCAGCTATGTCAAAAAAAAAAAAAAAAAAACAACTAAAAGTTATTATCTCGGGTTGGGAAGGTATAAAAAAAAATGCAAGATCTTATAATAACATACAACATAGATAAACAAACTTTTTCTTTTTTTTTTTAAGACAACAATTTTGCCTTCTTCTAGGCAAATTTCTGTATATTTGGGTCTTCCATAAGCACTAAACATATGCATAAAATCCTTTTTCCCTAGCCATAGTTTTTACAACATGGATAGCAAAGGTCCTCTCCTCTTATAATGGTACTATGAGTAATATAGGCCATGCAACTCGCACCAGTCATCCTATGGAATTTCAGTTATAAGTATTTGATGAATAACCTTGGACTTTGAGACATGTGGGCTGATGAATAGGTAATAGGTAGTTCTTTTCACTGAAAAAAAATATTTGACTGCTATATGCAAAGCTTAATTCTATTCTCCTACTTATCTTTTCTCTTCCATGCCATAAGAGGATAAGTCCATACACAGGATGCTGAACAGGTGTTACAATAATTTGGTCTGTTGGTGCAGGATCAACTCTTAACACTTTAAATTTGCTGACCAACAGTGTAAACATTATTTTTCTGAGAGGCATGAAACATCAATCACCCAGCACTGATGCTGATTGATTAAGTTAAATGCACAGCTTTGAAATCCAAATGTTCTCTTAATCAAAAACAGAAAAGTCCTTCTGGTTTCCAGGAGAATTGCACTCAATAATCAAAACTAAGCATGACACCAGGCAAGTGATATAAATCTCTTGCCTGATCACAGACTGCACAATTAAACTGGCAAGGAATACCAAACAAAGGCAGCTTCCAAGGCCAAGACATTTTGTCAAGGGAGTTGTGAATGAACGGAACACACTGGAATTATTTCCTCGAGTAAAGTTACTCAGAGCTGTAAGTTTTTACAGGACAAGGCTCTGAATCCATAAAATGATTTGGATATGCACAAAAGATAAGACAGCCAAAGTGTGTTCACAGTCTTTGGTGGGAATTTTACCACAGATGATTATGGTGCCTCTCTGTCTCACATCTTCCTCACATCAAGGATGTGCTGCCAAGAGCTGAGAGGTTTAGATAAAGAATAAAGAATTTAAGACGCTTTCAATTAATTGGACTGACCTGAAAAAGTAAAAAGCCATTAGCAATCCTGCTCCGAGCAAAGCGCCCACAACTATTCCTGTAACCGCAGATTCTCCGAGACCACCTGCTTGAAAAAGGGAAAAATAAATGATCAGGGTTCACATTGAGAACTATTTGCATTCACATATTCGAAAATACACAGGGCTAGGAAATGAATGACCAGCATCAGACAATAACAAAAGCTATTCAGAGTTCAGGACTCCGTGGGAACCTTTTTTTTCAGTTCCAGTTCCTGCATGTTTATTTTTTGTCCCTGCTTTCCTTGAGGTTAGACAAGCCCCCAAGGTCAGTGCCAAATGAAGTCAGAATCATAAAGATGTGATACAGAGGGATGTTGTTAAGAAACTGGTCTGGACAGTTTGGTCTGAATCACAACACCTGGACTGCAATTATAGCAAAATATATAATAGGAATCAGCACTGAATATCACCTAAAAAATCTTATTTCACCTGGTTTAGCATCACAACCAACTATCAGCTAGGCTTGCTAAAATTACCATATGATTATTCAACGGCTTCACAGATTTTTCTGAACCTCTAGTGTTTCAATTTAAAGCCACAGGAATTTTGCCTTGTCCCTAGTCTGAAGAAGGGCAGAGCCACAGGGTGGCTACGGGGGAGCCCTAGCAGGGACTGTTCTCAGAAGTGCAAGGCAGCTCAACGGCGGTGCCGTTTTCAGGTGGGTACAGCCTGCTCCTTCTCCATGCCCATTCAACCACTTCATTTCTTCTCATCTTACTGGACTCTTTGCAGTTCCTCCTGAGCAGGGAAAAATCATTCCGCACCAGGAGACCAAACACTCCTCTTGCTGGACTGAGCTCCTGCAAACGCTAATTATCAGTATGATCATTCTCTATTAGAGGTTCAGCTATGTCCTTCGTTTGCGTCTTTGCTTCTTTCTGACTAAATAAGATTTTACCTTACCCGGAAGGTCTCAGAGCCTCCAGGGCATTGGGCCAGTGCCTCATGCATCACGACTCCTATCGTTTTAAGTTCAGCAGAGTGACTCAGACCACGTACTGCCCAGGCCTCTAACCTTCCTAATGGTCAGCAGAGACACACAGTCATGATACCTCAACTGGGCAACTGCACTAAGCAAAATAATACTGCCCCTTATGCTACACCACCACATGGATTCCTCATGTGGATGCAAGCATTTCATCAGCAAACTTACATGATTTACATGGCGTGTTGTTCGTGTGCTCTGAGACACGGCTTTCATCTAACCTCAGCTTGCCGTGACTCCAAGGATATTTCACATTTGATCGAATTTCAAAACGTCCCTGCTTTCCATAGTAATCCCCAATCACCTATGCCAAAAAAGAAAGGAATGAATGAAAAGATTTTCCTGTGCACTACAGAAAACAGGCAGGAGGTGCATCGTGTCGCTAGAACTCTTGTGGCAGGATGTTGAATGAGGGAGAATAGGGCTGAAGGGGTCTCTGGGAGGTCACTCCATGTTCTGCCCCAGGCAGGACCTGCTGAAGGAGAGCATTCCTGGCAGATACTTATCTAACCTGCTCCTACAAGTCTCCAAAGACAAAGTCTTGACAGCTTCTGTAGGCAATTATTCTGGAGCGTAGCTATCTTTACTGTTAGTGGTTTTCCCTAACAGGCAACCTGCGTCTCCCTTGTGGTAATCATCCATCACTACTTATTCTGTTGCCAGTGGACACAGAGGCTTTTCCTTTCTGAAACGTCTGTTTACACATTTACAGACTGCTATAATGTCTACCCTTCAGGCTCATAAACCTGCTTCACACAGTGTTTTAACCCTGATCTCTGCTGCTCTCCCTGGACTTTCTTCAATTGTGGCACCACAGGCTGAGTGCTGGGGACTGGTTCTAGTGCAGTGGGGGAAAGTGGACAACGTACTGACGTTCCTCAGTGCACAAGCCCAGATAGGATTTTACCTGGAGGTACTTGAGGCTCAGCTAAAATCTTCACATCTTCTGTGGAATTACCATAGAGTCAGTCATTCTCTACCTTGTAATTCTGCAGTTGCTTCTATTTACATCAAAAGACATTTGAGGTTTACCATTCTGGCAGCATGTGCTATTACTTCAGAGCAATTCCTCAAGATGCTTTAGAACTTCCATCCTGCCCTCAAGAGTAAATCCAGGCTTTAGGATTACATATAAGATAAGATGAACTAGATCTACTGCAAAACTGCAGGACTAAATTGACATAACAGTAGCATCTGAAAGTAGTTCCCATAAATCTATGTACTCTAATGAAGGCAAAAGGCCACAGATGATGCACAGACACTGATACAGGGATGGCAGAAATACATCAAAAGGTCTATGTTTTCAATTGTGGATAAAATATATCTACAGATGCATTGGGTTTAGATACTAGTGTAACACTTCTTTTATTCAGACTCCCGACAGCCAGTTCAAATCTTACTCCTGAGCTCCATTCTGAAGAGAAAGATTTAGAAAGCACATAACATTTACCCTGGTTAGGTACCTCTACAAAGGTAGAATTCACACTAAATAAGGAAGCAGTTTTCTCTCTCAGTACTGCAATTGTAAGTTAAGACCTTAAAAGAAAGAGTTTTATAGACTTTATTTATAAAACAAAGACCTCAAAAATATAGGCAAATTCAGTAAACTGGACAGTACAGAAAAAAAAGAAAAATGAGACCATTTACAGGCAGCACACAATTCACTCATACTGTTTCACTATCAAAGAGGACTGGGAGAGATGTCCTTATTACAGCTCTCCCCTACCAAGAGGACTTACTAAATACGAAAGGATCCAGACACCAGCTTAACAAGAGCAAATAGGAGGCAGCAATGAAACTGATTCAGAGCAGAAATAGCATACACATTTTTAAAGAGCAAGAGTGATTAAACACTGAAGGAGCCAGTGAGACAGTCCCTGTTTTCTCAGTGTCTTCGAATGAAAAAGGAATGACTCTTAGGGAGCTTCAGTCTCATGCAAAGTGCCAGGCTCCATACAAGGTTAGAGACTGTGCCTGCCTGTGCTGCAGCCGAGGTCAGACTAGGTGATCCGATGTTTTCCTCTAGCTTTAAACTCTATGAATGGATTTAGGAAGACAGCTCTGACCAAACACAGACTCATTTGGCTCAGTTCCAATGAGAAACAAAAGTTTTCATGCTGACATGGAGAGAATCGGCAGAATGAATAAAACAAAGACATCAAAGAAACCATGTTATTAGTCAGAGTGAAGCATGAGGGCAGAAATGAATGTAGCGGAAGCAAGTAATAAATAATTGCATACCGAGTAAGTCACTTGTTATGTATATTTATAAGTATCATCATAAAGCAGAGAGAAATTAAGATAAAAAGTACGCTAGGAGGAATGCAACATCAAAGAAATGAAAGACAGTCTGGATTGAAAGTGAAGGAAAACAAAGGAGGAAAGGCTGAAAGAATTAGACTCAATTGATAAACACGATGTAAAGTAAACACACTGAGCAAAAAGATGTACTCCGTTCCTATCAAACGTATCCCAATTAATTTGTCCTACTAAATTTAAGTAATAACGGTTACCGTTAATGACTCCTTACCTCCTGTGTGCCTGTCTCTGGGTCCGTCATTGCAATCACAGAGAAATCCCCATATCTGTCTCCATTGGCATCAATGGACACCTGCCCTGCAATGCCTAAAGAATGGCATGTAAAGAATTAGAAAATTAATTAGTTAAAATATTGAGCCTTTCCAAGGAAAACAAGAAAACAGTGGACAGGTTTTACAGACCGATATGACAGGAAATCTCATCAGTCTCCCAGCATTTTTGTTGACATTCCAAAAGAAATTGTAATTTCAGCTCGGTGTCTGCATTCCTGAATTCTTAACATTTCTCCTTTTTAAATATCAAATGTGTGAGACTAGGGAATATGTGAGAAAAATCTTATCCAGAAAACCAGTGGGCCAGAATAAAACAAAAAATGCAAATACAAATTATTTACAGAGAGCTCAGCCCCAAAATTGCTAAAGATGCCTCAGTAAAAGAGTCCAGTTCAGGTGCTGCAGAGACCTCGAGGGCACTGGCAGCAGGCCCAGAGCCTGATGGAGCTTGGGGTTCCCATGCAGCTAGCACAGCACTGTGTCCTATCTGGTGGGATCTTGGAGGAGGGCAGAGGGGAGAAAAGAGGAGCTAGGTACACAAAATGTACATTAAATCCCACATTCTTTTACATATGATTAACTGCATAATATGTTGCTGTTCATTTTATATTTTTGACCCTAGTTCACTTCCTTCCTTTACAAGCTTGGGAGTAGAATCTGAGCCAGCTGCAGGTCTTGTTTCACATGCTTTAACAAAATTGAGCCTTCTAAAGACCATTCTAACGGACAGATTATAGCGTCATTTTAGGAGCCCTTCACATGATGGAAGTCACATTAAAATTCTTGATTACTTTAGAATTTGTTTTTAATAATGAGGAATAAATTAAAGATACGGTGCATGTCTTAGGCACTGTCTCTATCTACACAGATACTACAGCTACTAATAATATTCTAGGAAACTTTGGGAAAACCTATAATCACAGCATAATTCAAGTGGGCAGAGACACCAGGAGGTCTCCAGTTCGACCTCTGCTAAAGCAGGGTCATCCAGGAGGGCAGAATAGGCTGCTGAGGGATCTGTATGTTCCTGGGAACCTCAAAGCTGGGGCACTGGGCAACCTCTCCTGCAATGCTTAGCTACCCTCACACCGAGAGGCTGCTGAAATGTGCTGAAATGTGATCTTCCAAATGGCACCAAAAGTAGCAATTTACACCCCTGCAAAGCCAGTGCAGGTCAAACAAGCATCATTTTATATCTACTTTACACAGATTACGCGATTATACCAGGCACAAAGTAGCAGAGAATCAGGCTGCAAGGGACTGTAAACCAGAAAAGGGAGGTCGGCTTGTCAGACAGTGCAAATTCTCCTCAACATTATCAAGGAACAGCAAACCCTCAATGGATTAACACACCTACATTCATTTGCTCGCTGTTCCACTTTAACACAGCACTACCAGGAATGTTTAAGCCTCCTGTGACTTTCACTATATGCACTGTTAATCAAAATATTTACTGTCAAACATCTTCTTTTAAGTATAACAGCACAATAAGGAAACAAATGCAAATTCCACTATGGCAGAAGGGTGGAGTAGGCATAACCAGCTGGCTACAAAGGCACTGAAAGAGGCTGCAATAAAGAGCTGCAATGTCCTTGCCTACATTGCCATCAGGGTCTAGCAGGAGGCTTTATATGGAACAGACATTTTCCCGGTCTAAGAAAGCCAAAACCAAATTACTGGAAGTAGGTACTTGAACTCGCTAAAACTCAGATTTCCTACGTGATTTCTTTAATGATAAACACTATTTTTTGACTTGAGATATGAATCAAAACAAAGAATTGAAATTTAAATACTTCCTAAAATATTCCTCCTGAATACTTAGGAAATTTTACAATAACCTCTTGGAAGTACAATATTTGGATGAATTTAGAAGAATTTTATCTGGACTGGCTTTTTGGTATATTATGTTAGAATTTACACACCGAAAATGTCACTGCTGTTTCAGAGGAAACTTTAATTAAATAAAAATTTTACCTACAAAATGTTCACTTCAGTCATATCAAGGTGTCTCTAACAACCCAGAAATATTGGTATTTCCTGTGTTTGGTATATCACTTGTGATTTGGTATCAAGCCAGCCTTCTTTTATGAAGTACATGTTTTTTATGCAGTTGTGGGTGAAGGTTTGGATGGTCTGTGAATGCTGCATGAAGTGGCTGTCACATCCAGATGTGTCACCTTCTCAGAGCCAGCTGTGCACAGGCAATTAGAGATGTATGTGTCAGTAATTACAACGAATGGCAGCAATTATATTTCTGATGATTGAGGCCTGCAAAAGTGAATTCCAAGACCTCAGTCCTGCAACAGACCTTGTAGCTGTATGGATGCTGTGGTGCTGTATTTATTTTAGAGTGTTGCAAACAGGATAAAGGGAAATGATTTTTCCTTAAAGGACTGGACTGTAAGAAGCCAGGTTGAAGGCTTCTCTTTAAACCAGGACTATCCTTGCGAAATTAAACCCAGCAGAGTTCTGACCTGGGGAGGAGATGGGAGATGGCCCATAACTGATGTGGCATTTTGATCTTGCAAGCTGTGCCCTCATGGCTCAACCTGGCCATTTCCAGAATAGCTGTGACAAGTCACCCAGCAGCAACAAGCTGCTTTTCACAAGTGTGGAAAGGGAACATTTTTTTTTATCCTGGCTGGTTTTACAAGCAAGATGTGAGAACCCATCGTGTAGCCTGTGGTCTCCTCTGCATGGGGCACGTGGCGCTACACAAGACTTGCATGGGCATAGCAACTGGCGACCAGAAAATCAGTCAAGAAAACCCATGCTGTGCTAGAACACCTGTTCATACACAGGAGGGTCAAATAGGAACTCTTTAAACTTTTAACTCTTTTCAGGTTTTCAGCCACTTTGTTCCTTGCCTTCCTCCACTATGTCCAGTGTTTGTTCTCAGAGCAGAGAATCTGTCCACTGAGTTTTCCTTACATTTTAAAATTAATTACTGGCTTTTTATCAAGGCAAAATATTTCTTTCTCTTAGGCATTTCTTTTGGAAGTCTTGTCAACTGTACTCCAAAAGACTGGAATATTATCAGAGATGACAGACAAACCCATGGAGTCAGAATTCAGTTTCTCTACTAATATTGATATCCCTTCCTGGAAAAAGCACTCACACAGCTTTACATCAGTAAGGTGACAAACACGTGCCAGTTGCACTCAGAATCACAGCCCTCAGGATTAGGCACAGAAAGTCACAGCACTCTGTGTCCAAGCTGCTGCCTCTGAGACAACACGCAGAAGTCCTGAAAGAGGCTGGGAGGAAATCCTTACAGGGCCCAAAAGAGCCTGTCCAGAAACAAACAAAAAAAACTGGCACCTGCTTGCTTCGATCCATTCCCAGCCTTTTAAGATAAAAGAGTCAGATGGAAAGAATGAGGCAGTCTGAGAGCTAATAGATGACTGTCTACTTTTGGGACACTTTACTCTTGAGTAAAGTGAGCAGCTGTAAGCTTTTCAGAAACAAAGGAGTCTGAAAAAATTATTGCTGTTTCTTTAGATCATTGGTGAGGGTCATTAAATTGTTAGTTCATTGAACTCAATAGCACCTCAGGAGATGATGGAAAATTTCTGACTGGTATGTGAGGCAGCCTTAAAGATGTATTTGATCTCATATGGATATTTGCTTTTCATATAACAGCTGGATAGGCACTGGTCCTTATTCTGCACACAGAAAAGACCTGAATTATTTTCTGACTCTGAAAGCTGGAATTCCACATTAGCTCTTACCTTCGTATGTTCTGTTCCGTGTTTGCTGAACAATTTTTTCCCCGTCTTTCTTACTGAAACCATACTTCAGGACTTCCTGCAAAGCTAGAGCATAAAGAAGAATAGCATCATGGAATCCTTCCACAAACATGTTCACCTAAAAAGAAAAAAAAAAAAAAAGGCAATGGCAATTGACACATGAAAAACATCTACCTTCCCTATGGAACTGCTTAACTGGAGAAAATCTCCAGATTAATCAAAATAACCAATTTGGAAGGTTATTTTCTCAACTAAGACACAAAGGAATGTGTCTCAAAGAAAAAGCAAGAGGAAAAGGATAACTTTTAACCCACTTTTAAAAGCAGTTAACTACTATCTGTTATTCTGAACATTCAAATCGCACTCTAATGTTGTGTCTGAATAGTTCTGCAGATAGGGGAGAAATTTGCTGATCACAGTTTCCATGCCAAGCTGCACAAATTCTGCTGCTGATAGTGTGAAACTCTGCAAGGTGCTGAGCACTCTCGCCCCGCAGCACCAAGAACGTCCTCCCACTTCTGCACAAAGGACCCAGCCCCTGGCAGGTTTGGGAAATATGTCTTGCCATAATTTTGTTTCGGAGAGCCCAAGTCTTTCTGAGCAGTGGATTTGCTTGTTTAATAATTACCACTTCCACCTGTGGCCCTTGCTCAGCTGAGCATCTCTCCACTCGTGAATGAGCAACAGAGTAAACGGTTACCCTGAATAGAGCTCTGGGACAGCCAGGAAACAGTTTTCTATCTTTTATATTTTTTTTAATTATTATTAAATGACATGAACTAAACAAAATCTTGGTTTCTAGCACTAATATAAGGAGACTGCTGCAAATTAGTGTCGTCTTCCAGGAGCAAACACAGATAACCTGCAGCTTTGGTCCTGCATCACTCTGAATATCAGTAACAGTGAAGAGCAGAAGGCAACACAACATTAGGGCTTGTTTCCCCAAGCCAAGTGTACTCAGTGGTGAAGCAAAGAATATTAGGAGCTGAATTCAAGTATGGGCCCATCACCAAGATGCAGACACACAAGTGCCTTGAAGAGCACAGGTATTCCTCTCCTCTAAGCAATAACTCCCATCCGACTCAATGCACACACGGGCTTGATGCATGATAATTCAGAACTAATTATCTTTCCAGCTGAAAGAAGAATGTTCCCATTCACTTACTGTTCAGTTATGCTGGAAAAATGCCTGATGTGCTGGAGCTAGCAAAGGTGTAAGCAAAGGTTTTAGCAAATCATGTGGCCTCTTATTGCCATTTTCACTGAACAACACCCTTCTATAAATACTCTCCTGATTAGGAGCAATATTTAATTTACCTTCAATTTCTGTGTATCTAAACAGCTAAAAAAAATGTTAGCAAATAAAGCACTACTCAAACTCCCACAGTTTTAGCTGGACATCAGAAGAGCTAAAAGATGTAGCCAGTTAAGTAAATAACTGCTCCATAGATAAAAAGCATTACATAGTTGATTGGCCAAGCTGAACTAACCGAGCTCCCGGTTATGTAATTACATACAAGACATTCTTTCACTTTTAGACTGGTTGCCAACAGTAAGGAGAATTAAACCCGCTCACTGATAATATGAATGTTTACATTTCTCTGACATTTAAAATCGAACGTTTAGATAACTGAGACCTACATTTCTTTAAGAAAATGCACCACAAATTTAGGGAAACAGAAGCCAGTGTAACAGCAGAAGCAATTCAGTATGACAGCAAAGACTAACAGGAGCTGCAGTTATTTTGACCTGAAGAGAGGCACAAAAGAGAAGGTGAAAGTCAATCTTCTGGTGGAATAGTAAGAGCTGTTGTAGAGGGTGCATGCTAGGACAGGGTTTGCCAGTGGGGGATTTCATTTTTCAAGCCAAAAAAACAAACAAACAGGCAAAAAAAGCAATTCTGAAAGCTGAACTACCACTTTATGTGCCAGCCTTGAGTTCAGGCAGCCTGTGGATGCCCAAACAGGGGCTTTGACAATGTGACACACTTTCTCTCAGGAGGAGAGGGATGGAGTCGCTCTGGTTGCCTCCTGCCTGATTTACAGCATGGGCTTGGCAGGAGTTTCAAGGAGAGCTGTTTGTCGCTTCCTTTGTCCACAGCAAAGACCTCTTGGTGTAACACAGCAACCACCAAAATCCGTTTTGTCAGCTAACTTGCTCAGTCTGAAATCTACCCTTGTAGCCAGCATGAAAACGCTACGGAGGATTTGCCAGGTCGTCTTGGCAAAATTCACCTGACAGCTTGGGAGGCCGCTGCTGCGGCCTCCTGCCTTGCACTTGGCCGGGAGTCCTAACACTGCCTGGGCAAATCACCCGAAACCATCTGTGCGACCTCGCTGCTCCTCCAGCACAAAATCAGGCAAGGTGAAACTACAGGTAGTTTGGACCATTTCAAATCTTTTTGTAAGAGAGTAGTATTTACTCATTGCAGGTGGAAACCACTCTTCATGCAATCACGTGTTGGGAACACTGGCTGATTTTCAGATTTCTCCAGCAGTTTTTGAAGGGGGATATAGGCCCTTGAAGGGCCTAAAGTTTTCCTGCCTATCATCTTGGTGGACCATTCAGAAGTTGCAGGATCCTACTTAGTGGTTGAGTTGCATGACATGTAATCAGCAGAGCTCAGGATGACCTCAGCTGGGGAGGAGACAACCTCCAAGACAGGAGGAATATTAAATATTAAAAATCTATTTAACAACTTCCAATAATTTTGTTTCTATTTCTGTGTTTCGTTTTCTACTTGCCTAAAGCTTATTCAGGTTCATTTTATAGGCCTGTTTCTGTGAGTAAGATCATCTACAACAAACCTGGCGAATAAAATGAGTGCAAAATTTGTCTCAGATGGTGCATCTGATATGACTCCTGGCTTACTAGAACAGGAATCCCCAGGAATTCCCTTTTAGACAAGATTAGCTCTGAATATTACTGTATCTCATGTATCTTACAGGTAAGAAGACTTTTCTTTATTTTTCTCCTGCTTCCTTTTTCTCTAAACATTGCTTCTGTTTTACAGTCAATTCAAAACATTTTTGTGCCAGTTTTCAGACCTTGTACTTGAGAACTTTCACATAATTTTTGTCTACAACAAGGTATTTAAACACAAAATCTGTGAGTGCATGTGCGTGTGAGCATGTGTATGAAATAAAGAATAGGGCTTTAGACTATCTGTTAATAAAAGCAGATCACACCTGTAAAAATAATATATTCTACCCTTGCTTTGGGAATTATACTACTATGGGAATGAGAGGCTTAAGAAGTGGATGTTGCATGTGTGGGGACCAGGATAACTGTGAAGATGTCTGTACAGATTGCTCAGAGGTCTGCACAGTAGCTCATAATGTGTAGCTCAACCTCAGGTAGTCCTCAGAAAGAAATTGCACACCTTAAGATTTTAAAGAAAGATCTCTAATCTTGTAGGTAATTAATAATTCTTTTTGTTGAGCTCTAATAAAGGCAGACATTTTCAATGATGGTATTTCCCCTTTTCTTTAGTGCTGATTTTTAAATTACAAGTGAGAAGTTACTTGCAAATGCTGTGACTACCATCGACAAGTCAGGTCTGTTAAAACGGTGCTGCTGCACAGCACAGCCACCCACCACCATGTGCCACGAGCAGCGTGAGTAGCAGCAGAGAAGCTGCCACTTTGCTGCAGCTCTTTGGAGCTGCAATACAAATATGTAGAACTGCCGTATGTTCCACAACACACTCACTTCCCACTCAAGCTACAGTGTAATTAGAAGCACATAAGCTAACTGCATAGCTGGAAAACTGAAGGAGATGAACATACATTTGTTACTCTAATTAACCATCATCCATTAGAGAAAAACCCTCTCTGTGGAAATCGCATGAATAAATTTTACGCAGTTCAAAGTTATAGTTCCCCAGCCAGCTATAGTGTGACCACACTATTCATATACACCAAGGTGTTAACAGCATACACAGCAATGCAAAACACTACCGGCGTGGAAGACAGCCAAGCTGCAGCTACACAAGACCCATAATTTTCCGTATCCTGCTCACTGACTGTTAAGTGACGTTTCTCTCTTCCAGCTGGGGCTGCCCAGCTCTGCATCATGGCAATTACAGCAATCCAAACCACTCCAGTACTAGTACAGGGGAAATCTTTGCTTTTTTATCTGCAGAGACTTTCAGGTTCTGTCACTATATTTCCAGTCCAAATCCTGGGGACTCTGAGGGACTGCAATGGGTATACCTCAATTTTTTGCAAAGTTACATATCTGACATGGCAACGCTCAGGTGAGCTAATTCTCAGTTCTTTAAAAGCAAGCAAGTTTGGAGGTTTGATGCTATAATCACATAAACTTCAGAACTAGGAACACTGCAAATGAACCCTTGTGAATTTTAGCCATACTTTGTCACACTGTATAAGTTGATGGCACTAACTACGGGAGGTACGTAGCCAGGAAAACCAGGAGAGCAACTTTTCCAGCACTGCTTTTCCGTGGATTCCAAAGATACTCTCTGGGGCTTAGCCTTTTTCCTTCAGGACGTGACCATGCCTTTGCCTGCCCTGTTCCCTGTGCAT